ATCACATCAGGGCTAACTGTTGTCGGGAATGCTGAAATATGTGATTTTTCATCGCACATTATTTTCTTTTGAGCAATCAAACTAAGACTTTGGCGCATGTCTGCCATCCGAGTTCTTGAGAATATTTTTCAGTTATTTGAACTGAATGCAATTACTTTAAACCGTCCGTTCTTGATTTGCCCATAAAACTAACGTATTAGGTCAGACGTATGATTGAGATTTTGCTCAGGGAGATTTGATCCAAACAGAAAATCTTAACTAAAGTGGTTGAAAATTAAATTAAGATGATTTTTATCCGTTTATAGTCCTAGACCTTATATGAGACTAAACTTCACGCCAGTTTAAATGGGGCCCGGTGGACGTCGTTTTCTGAGGCGGTCTATCTCTCGTGGGTGTATGACCCTCTCCAATGGATCAAGCGAGAATTGCATTGGACCGACTCGGGCTGTCGCAACAGTTAAAGCCATAGGGAAAACAGCTGCTACGACCTTCGGACCCGGTCCAGAATAGGAAGAGAGGCTGAAAGTCGGCTGAGGAGATGCGGTATCCTATGAGGAAAGCCTGGAGAGCTTCTAGATTACTGTACAAGAGAGCACGTCCGGCGCCGCGAGAGTGGCATCCTAAGTGACAGCGTGTAATGCGTCGCAGTGTTTTGAGTGACAGCACGCCTGAGTAGGCCTTAATGATCATTGGTAGGTTTAGATAGCCATGGTGGGATAAGAACCAGACTGCCACTGGCGTGCACGGGCAGGTATGCGACGAGGGGGCAGCGTTGCAACAGGCGTTTGGAGTAGGGTTACTGCAGGGCCAGGCCACGGCAGAACAGGCCTTACTGGTCTGCGCACCCATACCAAATGGGGGGGGGGGTGTGGAAGTAAATGAAGGCGTGGGTGCACGTCGCGTCAGCCGAATGCGCCCGATCTCGCCTCCGGGATTCTTGACTATGTTTCGACGCCGGGTCCACGAAGGTGAGGGAGGAGGGAGTGCGGTAGATTCAGTTCAGTTTATTTGAGGGGAACATAGGTGCTGAAACTTCGAACTCCCTGTTTGTTAGAAGGAAGCGAATTATATCAAAAATTGGAAAACGAAAACATCAACCAGCTGCAGAAGTTTTTTTCAGATTGGCAAAGTTTCGAAACGAGTCAGAAAAACGAAATGCTTTAAGTGTTTAAGAACACCAACATTACTGAATGTGCTGTACGGTAGTCGGTCTATGTGTAATTGGTGCGAGTTTAGTTCTTGAGCAAGACGAATTAAATGCCAACGCTCACATCCAACGAACTTGGGCTAATAATGAAAGCAAGCGTTGCTGAAATGCTGGCCGTGATGTAATAACATAAATAAACTGTTAAAATGAAATTCTAGGACGATATCGCTCGGGTTAAATTATGACGTTTGGGGGTATACCGGTCCAACTTGCACTTAAAAGCCTCAACGGATATGGGTGTGACGATATTTGCAGGCAGAGCATTCCGAGCCTCGACTACCCGTTTGAAAAGAACCTTCGCATGTCTAGTCTGGCGTCGGTCGTACGTAGTGTAAGTGAATGACCTTGGGGGTTTCTTTGTGGTTTCTAAATCAAAGAAGTCAGCAGGTAGGAGACAGCAGGAAGATCTGATCCTTGTTCTTAGTTTTGCTCTTGTCGCTCACACACAAGTCCAGTGCTACTGCAAACTAACTTGCGCCGAAGTCCCCGTCCCTGCACAAACCCTGCTATGAGGCACAAGGGGAACATCACTGGAATCGACAATCGAGGTGTCGTGTCGTCGTGTGTATGCGTGTGCCCTCCACCGCCTCCTGTCCTCTTGACTCTGTCTTGACACCGGATCCAGGTGGGAGGTGGAGAAGAGCGAGCTCGGTGGATTCTGTGCAAGTCTACTACCACCACTGCCACCACTATCACGCACGAGGCACTGCGCCTGCTCAACTTGGCGTGTAGCACACGGTGGACATCGTCGGGATCGACGGTTGAACTGCCGTGTGTGGGCTGTAGGGGTTCCCAGTTGTGGGTCTACGTGATGGTCGTAGTAGGTGGGTCACTTTCTTGCAGATGTAGGCTACACCTAGCGTTCATTAACTGGCACCAAACTCTCACATGTGGTTTTCAGAAGCTAGGCTCTGCCTAACGGCCATACCCCCGGTAACCGCCTCGGCCGGCGGCCTAAACCAAGTGACGGTATCCGCGTGTGCATTTCCACACGGAATAGCTCGGCTCCGCTCCCACTACCGCTGGCCGGATGGATCACCGCCTCGGCATCTTCGAGATGAGGTCCCATCTACAACCCCCCAGGAGGCCGCAAGCACTAAGCAAGCTGCTGGCCCAGTGGCTGGAAGACCGGCACCTTACTTCTCTTAGCACCAATTTTCCGCCCTGCTCTCCTGCCCCCACTCTCTTCTCTCTACTCTACGCTAAATTCTTACCCTACGGTCGAAAGTCCCACGGATCACCACATCTTTACCTCCAAGATAAAGCTTCAGCTGCAAGGTAAGTGACCCCCCAGGTAAGCCGAATACTGATGTGCTGTCTTTGCTTTTTGATTGTTCTTGTTTGTTTGCCTTTGTCTGCTTGTTCCTGTCTGTCCTTGTTGTGAGCTAAATACTGTTCATTTCAGTAATCTCTTGAATTTGTTTGCTCACAGTATGTATTCAATAACCCGTTAGTCTAGAGAGGACGGGAATATCCTTTTCTTGTCTCTCTACCCCAATCCTCCAATTCCGGCCACTCAAAAAGTCATACTGCCGGGGAAACGGCGATCTCGTAGGCAACCCAGACTGACTGGGGTCGTTCTCTCTCTAAACAAAAGTCATGACCCATGATGGAGTCCGGCAGCCGTTTGGCGCAAGTAAGCAGTCATATTTATGGACAGCACTACTACGAGGCTAGAAAAGGTGCCCTAAATAAATGCTGGAGGACCCCACTGTCTGCAGGCTAACCGTGGCCTCAGAGACAAAACTCACAATCGAAACAATCAAATCAGAAACAACACCTTCCTTTCCTTCTTCCCTTTCCCGCCGTCCCATTCACCAGATAGGTAGGATGATGAGTCTACTCACTCCGTCAGCCTGGAATGTTCATTCCCTTTTAGACAATCCGAGGAGCAACCGACGGGAGCGGAGGACAGCGCTAGTGGCTCAGGAACTGGCGCGCCACAAGGTGGTCAACGCCGCACTCAGGGAGATCAGGTTCCCCGAACAAGGCCGGCTGGGGGTGGGTGGTTGACGCCTACACCTTATCCTGTGGTGGTCGTCGCAAAGTAGAGCTACGGAATGTAGGCGTCGCCTTTGCCAGGGCATCAACGATCGCCTGATGAGCCTCCTCCTACATCTCCGCAGAGACAAGTTTGTGCCAACGTTGACGTCTAAGCTTTCCCAATAACCAGTCCTTACGCTTCAAAGGCCAAATTCCACAAGGACCTGCATGCCCTCCTGGCGTCTGCGCCGAAGACGGACAAGTTTATTGTACTTGGTGATGTCAACGTCCGCGTCGGCGTAGACGAGGCTCCCTGGAGGGATGTGCTGGGTCCCCATGGTCTTAACGGTTCCAATGTCAATGGTCTGCTCCTTCTATGAACCTGCGCAGAATACCACCTCATCTTGACCAATTCCTTCTTCCGTCTCTCGATATGAAAGAAGGCCACCTGAATGCAGCCTCGGTCGCGACACTGGCACCTGCTAGACTAGGTCCTCGTCTGGAAGCAAGATCAGCGGGACTTGCTGGCAACAAAGGAGATTCCGGGTGCTGACGGGAGAACCGACCATCGTCTCGTCATTTCCTAAATGCCAATTCGCCTACAGCTTCGCCGGAGACCTCAAGGCAAGCGACCTCCAGGTAACTTGTATGTTGCTTTGTTGTTGCCTGCTCACCAATGGACTAGCCCGAAGGTTTGCCAAGCATACAGTCTGTGCCGCGGCCGCCGATGAGAACGCCTTGGCGGAGAGTCAATGGCATCAACTGAGGGATACGATCCAGTCGACCGCTCAGGCTGTCCTCGATCACGCATGACGCCAACACCGGGACTAGTTCGAAGACAACGACGCCGTCATCAGCAACCCGCTCGCCGAGAAGAACCGCCTGCACAATTCCTATGTCACTCGCCCTACTGACGACAACAAGGCAACCTTCTACCGTAGTCGTCGTCCTGCGCAACAGCCGCTGCGGAAGATGCAAGACGATTGGACGGCCCACAGGGCCGAGAAGATCCAAGGGAACCCGGACCGCAACAAATGGAAGAACTTCTTCTCCGCGACCAAGGCCGTCTACAGCGCAACGGCTTAAGGCACAGCTCTTCTTCCCAGCGCCGACGAAACTACAATACTCACTGAGAAGACAGCAATTTTACTCCGATGGGCCGAGCACTTCTGCGGCGTCCTCAACCGCCCCTCCTCCATCGCCGAAGCCACCATCGCTCGTCTGCCGCAAGTGGAGACTAACGTCGACCTCAAACTCCCGCCGTCTCCGCGAAAACATCAGATCCGTGCAGCAGCTGTCCAGCGCGAAAGCGCCCAGATTTGACGGGATCCCTGTTGAGATCTACAAGCACGGTGGCTTTCAACTCATTGATTACCTGATTTCGCTCTTCCAGGAGATGTGGCGTCAAGGAGAAATACCGCAGGATTTCAAAGACGCCACATTCGCTCATTTATATAAGCGGAAAGGAGATCTCCAGCTTTGCGACCACCAACGAGGCATCTCCCTGCTGAACAACGTCGGGAAAATCTTCGCTCACATCCTCCTCAACCGTCTGAATAATCATGTGGAATGACGCCTTCCGCCGGAAAGACACTGTGGCTTCCGCCGTCATCGCGGGACCACTGACATGATCTTCGCTGCCCGCCAACTTCAGGAGAAGTTCCAGGAGATGCGGACCCGCCTGTTCTCTACCTTCGTGGGTCTGACGAAACCCGTCGACACAGTGAATCGCTAAGCATGGCGGAATATCATGCAGAGATTAAGCTGTCCCGAGCGATTAACCCAGGCATTGCGGCAGTTCCATGATTGCATGGTGGTGCGCGTTACGGATAACCGAGTTGTCTCGGAGGCATTTGCAGTGACCAGTGGAGTGAAGCAGGGGTGCGTCCTGGCGCCCACTCTCTTCAGTCTTATTTTCTCTGCCATGCTGACGGACGCCTACCGTGACGAACGCCCCGGAACCCTCATCGCCTACAGGACGGACAGCCACCTCCTCCAGTCACGCGTATCCACAACCACCGTTCACGAACTCCGCTTCGCCGATCACTGCGCCCTTAACACTACCTCGAAATAGAACATGCAAAGGAGCATGGGTCCCTTCTCCGCCGCCTGCGAGAACTTCGGTCATGTCATCTACACGGAGAATACAGTGGTCATGCACCAACCGTCACCCAACACAGTCCACAATGCGTCGAAAATCAGCGTGACGGAACCCAACTGCAAGCGGTCGACAACTTCACGTATCGGGACAGCAACCTCTCCTACAACACTAAAATAGACGTCGAAGTGGCCCGCCGGATCCTTAAAGCCAGCCACTCCTTCGGCCGTCTAGAATCGTCACGGTCTCCGCATTAACACTAAACTAAAGGTATAAAAGGCGGTGGTCTTGCCGATATTGCTGTGTTGAGCGGGGACCTGGACTGTGTACAAGAGGCAGGTGCGAAGAATAAATTATTTCCGCCTCAGCTGTCTTCGTCGCATACTAAGGTTGAGAGGCAGGACCGGATCCCAGACAAGGATGTTCTGGAGAGCATAGGAATCATCAGCATCTACGCCATGTTTAGACAGCTGCAACTGCGTTGGGGAGGCCATCTCGTGCCGATGGACGACAAGCGGCGACCCAAAGGACTCTTCTATGGAGATGTTGCCACGGGTTCCCACCGCCAAGGAAGCCAAGTACGTCGATACAAGGATTCCCCGAAGACCTCCCTCAAGCGTTTGCAGATCAACCCAGCCAATTGGGAAGACGTCGCTTGGGACAGACCAACTTGGAGGAAGGCAGTGAAGATAGACGTTGCGATCTACGAAGCCAACCGCATCTCCGCCGCGAGCGCCAACAGGAAGCACGCACATCTCAGCTTCGTCCACCTTACAGTGCCAAAGAACAACCGCCTCCAAAGTGTCCACGGACATTCCGGTAGCCAGTTGGAATTGTTGGACACATTCGGATCAATTGGACCATTCGGACTGTACCAACCGTCATCTCTTCATCCACCACCTCCCACGCCGTCAACTTACTCTGACCGCCCTCCTGAACCACCGCTTTCATCCTTCTTGTCCTCGTCATTGTCCCCCAATGCCTCAACGTCTGCCGTTGTGGCGGCTGCCATGCACATCAACACCACATGCAATCCTGACACACCAACAAACACTAACGCCACAATCGTCGGCACCAAAGGTGAGGACCAGGACTACACCTGTCCTCAATGCGACCACACCTTCACCACACACATCGGCCTGGTCGGTCACTTGCAAATCATTCTAACAGAGACTGGCGAACCAGTGCCTGAAGCACCAACCTACACCCCCACACCCGCCTCCACTGTCCACACCGCTCTCGCACATTCACGCATCGCATGGGCCTATTCGGCCACACGCGTATCAACGAGAGCGGAATTGACCGCAGACCCGACACACCCAGCACATTTATAACACCCACCATGCCTAGTCCCTCCCTCACTCCGTCGCCCTGTGCACCCACCGCCACCAGCTCTATCACACCCAATGCCCACTGCACAGCCACCAGGTTCAGCACAAACCACCACCACCACCACCACCACCACCACCACCACCACCAACACCACCACCATCATCATCATCATCATCCTCATCAGCATCATCTTCGTAGCTGACACTGACACCACCGACTTCTCGTGTCCACACTGTCCCCGCAATTTCGCCTCACGCATCGGCCTGGTTGGTCACTTACGAATCCATCGCACAGAGACCGGCAAAGCTGTGTCTGAAGCACCAACCTACACCTGCCGCATCCGACCCACTGTCCACACTGTCCTCGCACATTCATGCACCGCATGGGCCTATTCGACAACAAGCGCATCCACGAAAACCTGCGGTAGACAATCTCCGACTGCACCACAACACCATATTAGCACATCCTCCCTCATCACCACCCCACCACACATCAACATCACCCACCGTAAGCACCAAACTGCCACCTCCCACAAACCCAGGAAGTGTACGTCTCGACGGGGTCCCATGCGGTTCCTGTTGCATGGGTGACTTGAGCCTGAGACCGTCCCGTCGCGCCAAGCGTCGTGGATTGGTAAGGCTGCTGACTGACGTCCCAGCTCAGTCCACGCAGTCCGTCCGGTTGTGTGTGTTTGTGTGGTGTGGCGGACTAGTGGGTTGAGGGCCGGGTTGAAACAACTCCTTCCATGGCACCCTCACGCATGTGTGAGGCACGCCGCTCAACCCTCGTTGTACTAAATCCTGATGCTTTTGCTTGCGGGACCAGGTCGTGCACGTGACGTAGGCAGACAATGCCAGCCACCGCGCCCATTCCCCGCTGCAGTCATCTGACCGGCCCGGACAATGGCCATGGCATGGGAATGGGTAGGGAGAGTGACGTCGACGACTCAGCGCATTTTCCTCACTACAAACAGTCTGACGCGCTTGAAGCCATCACGGTTCGCTAAAAGCCGTGGCTTGGAAGGTTACCAACTGACGGGATAACTTGGACCTCGCAGTCGGTCCAGTGTTGTGTGTGTTTGTGTAGAGTGGCCGGCTGGTGGCCTGAGAGTCAGACTGTATTGACTTCTTCTTAATGTGGCCTTTATGACACACCCACAGCGTGGTATCCGAGCCGTGTTTGGCGGCACGCCTAGGTGAGGCTTCGGCCGTTTCAGCCTCCATTCCGTTTGTCTTTGTTGGTCAAAATCCTGGTTGTTTATTGTGTGGACCAGGGGGCCTGGAGTGGAAGTCCAAGGTGCGGGCTCGACCGTGCCATCCACCCTCACCCTCCCCCGTCTCTGGTCTTCTGTCGATCCGTTGCTGAGACCGTGCGAGGCCTGTGACTAGCCTCACGAGAGCTCAGAACCAACGAACGCTATTGCTTCGCTGATTGGCTTCGACTGCAACCTCCTAGAGGTCCACAAGTTAAAGGACAATCAAGTAGGTTAAATATTGTCTGCTCACAGCTGGAAGTTTGGTAATTAACTGGCGGAGTACCTGGAAGACATGAAGGCGCCGGACGACAAGGCCACCATCGTGATATGATGGTGTCAGCTGCGGAATACAGTTCACTCCATCGCCCTGGACGTCGCCGTTCGCACACGTAGTGAACAGCGACAGGGTTGGTTGACAGCGACGCTGAAATCAGTAGCCGGCTGTCAGAGAAGAATGGACCGCACAACGCCTACACCAGCAGCCGAGACGGTGAAATCGAAATGACTTTCTTCAGATAACGACATCTTGTACAACAACGGCTGCGGCAGACGCAGGACGCCTGGATAGATCACAACGTTGGGAAGTCCAAAGGCACACAGACCGCAGTGCAATGAAAAGCCCCGTCGTATCAGTCATAGTGATCTTCTGTCACAGCGGCTTCTCAGTTCCGATGGAACAATCCTTCTCACGGAGAAGTCGCAGATTCTGAATAACTGCGTCGAGAAATCCATAATTTTTCTCAACCGCCCATTCCCTGTCTTCGACGCCGCCAACGACCGGTTTTCCCGAATAAAAACGAATTATTTCCTGAACCTCCCCCTTTACCTCCCTGAAACAATAAGATGTGCACCTCAACTATCCAGCTGGGAAGCACCGGGATCTGTTGCGATTCAGGCCGAAGCTTACAGGCATAGTGTTCCCCAGCCAATCGAAAAACTTGCGACAATACTCTAAGAGACGTTACTCCAAAGCCATATTTCCCAAAAGTTTAAGGACGCGACAGTCTTTAAGCTATACCAGAGGAAAGGAAATCGACAACTCTGTATTAATCACAGAGGAATCTCGCTACCCAAAAATGCTGAAAAAATCTTCATACTTACTGTTAGAAATTGTTGCAAAGGCCATTCGGAACACGGACTTCTCCCAGAAAGCCAATTTGGTTTCCGTTGCTACCTCGGAACTGAAGAATAAGTGCCAGGAGACTCACACTAAACTCCACCTTCGTGGACACGGCGAAAACATTCTAAATCGGGAATGGGGATGGTGTATCGAAAATTATGCAGAATTCATCCGCTGCAAACTATTCACGCGACCTCCACACGATCCAACTTGATCTCGATCTTTACCCAAAACTCAGGATGTACAATGCAACGTTTATGTGCAGAACGGAGGGTGGATGACAAGTGACTCTTTTACGGTGATTCCGCTACAAGTGGTCGATAAAAAAGGGACAAAACGACGCTAAAGGTCACCTCATTAACGCCTCTCATTCCGCAAGCCAACCCAGAGACCGACCTATCTGGAGAAGGGTAGTGAAGACTGGAACAGCTATCTACGAAGCCAACTGAATCGCCGCTGCAAAAGCCAAAAGAGCGGCTTGCAAGTCTCAAGTGTCGCCGATCCTCACCTAACCCATTTCAAAATGTCCACGCTATCAAGGAACATTACGCTTGGAGATCGGCATCGTCTAGCATGTCCACACCCGAAGACGTCCCTATCGTCATACCTGCACCAACCTCCATGGCATCCACGACAACAACCATCACCGCCAGTGATGATATCTCGGATGTCTCGCCGCCGTTGATCACCGCCTCCTCTGTCATCCCTGTCAAAACGCCACGAAGGCTACTAGCACCACTCCTACTCCCCCCACCGGTCAGAACACTGTCGACGCGCCTTCTGCCGCCACCCTCTCTACCACCACTCTCACCGGAAAGGCTGTGAACTCAACCCCAATCTGTCCTCATTGCGATTGCGCTTTCACATCATTCGTCGGCCTAGTCGTTCACTTGCGAATCCATCGCACAGGGGCTGGCGAACCAGTGCCAGGAGCACCAAAATACACCTACCACACCCGCTCTTACCGCCCCCACTACCCAGGTACATCAGGTTGTCGCAAGGGCTTACTCGGTCACATGATCCTCTATGCTTATCTTTGATAAAAACCCCACTGACCAAACCTCATCACCACACACCTCCCACCACATAAACCATACACGAACCCACCCTATATTACCCTTCATAGGCACAACGTACAAGTTTCTTACGTAACTGGAAAACGTGCTCTTGACTCCCTGTCCAAGGGGCTCCTCTGTTACTCTAGCTCATGTGAGATCCGAGCAGCCCACTTCCTCGTGGGGAGGTCAGGTCGTGTGTGGCACGTGCGGACGGACTGCTTTAGCTTTGCCAGTCACGGTGCCCAATCTCAGCGTTAGTTGGTTGACCGGCCCGGACAATCGACTGGTGGACGGAAGTAGGAAGAGAGTGGGGCCGACTCTGGGGACTCCGTCCCCACGGCATTTCAGAGAATTCATCACTATGATAACGGGCTCGAATCTATTACGACGCGTTGAATGTCATGGTTTGAAAGGTTGTCTATTGGAGATTTATCTCAGACGTCACAGTTAACCCAGTGTATGTTTGTGCGTAGAGCGGCCAATTGATGGACTGGCGGTCAGAATCCATGGTTCCTTTTTATTATGGCCCCTATAGGGGGTCTCACGCATATGAAGTCCGGGCTGTCCGCCCCCTTTGCCTGTGCTTGTATGTGTTTTGCGGAGACATTGTCGTGTGAGGCAGGCACAGAGGGGCTGTTTAGCTCTGCCCGCCGCTGCACCCATTCTCAAGATACATTGACTGACCGGCTCAGACTGGTGCCTGGGAAAGGTAAGAGAGAGTACGATCGAATTTGGGGGCTGCGCGCCGACCGCACTCAGCCCATATTCCTCAGTATAAACAGTCTGGCTCGCTTTTAAGCCATTACGATATGCTACGAGCGGTGGCTCGGAAGGCTGTCAACTAACAGGATTACTAGGTCTTCCTTTCAGGAATGAGGGTCACGCTTCAACGGCTCATTCTCAAATGGTCCCTTAGGCACTCCCACCCACCTCAGATCCGAGTCGCACGTCGGTTGGTTTTTTAAAATCCCTGTCTTTGTGTGTATGCCTGTGTCGGTCCCCCTAAGCGGGCCACGTGTTAGATGCGCTGGACCAACACGGAGGCCACATCGGATTCTGACAGGCGTTATCTGTGCGCAATAACAAATGTCAACATCTGCGGGGTGCGCTGGCAGTCCCGGTTGGTCGCATTCGTCGCACAACTGGGACCTCTGTGACCACCCCATTATTTTGCGGGTCAAAATCCTGGCCATTGGTTGAGAGGACCGGGGGGTGTGGTGGAACGCCAAGGTGACGATCTGTCCAGGCCATCCACCTGCGGCTTGCCTTGTCTCCGGTCTTCTTGACTCTCTCTAGACACCTGGTTCAGACGAGGGGGGGGGGGAGAAGTGAGTGTGTTAGGTGCAGCGCAAGTCTACTGTCACTATAAACTCCTGCGCAAGTCACCGTCCCTGCTCCCACTACTGCTGAGGTGGGGCATACAGTGGACATCGTCGGATGCGACGGTCAAACTATCGGGGGTGTGTGTGTGGCCCGCACGGACGGACTGTTTACCTTTGCTAGCCAATGCGCTTGACCCTGCCGGTCTTCTTGACTATGTCCTGCCATCAGGTCCAGGAGGGTGAGAGCGGAGGGAGAGCAGTGGATGCAACGCTTGTCTATTATCAGTAGAACCAAATTTACACGCGAGTCATCATCCGTGCGTCCACCCTGTCGTGGTCATATGGTGGACACCATCGTTCTCGATGGTCAAATTTTGACAGTGTACCCCCACAGCGAGCTCTGATGTAATTCACTGAACCAGTATGGGAGCCAGATTACACCATAGCACTCCTTAATCGGGTCGTGTTCTGTCTGCCTGAGACCATGACTACAGCCGTAGTAGTAGCATTCCTAGGCGTAGGTCTTCACGCCATGTCAATCACTGCGCCCAATACCATCAGGCTCGGACAGCTCATTGGTGCGTGAAATATAGAAGAGGAAGTTAGACTGACACGGGGATTCATTATCAGCGCATTCCTCCTTAATAATAAATCTGTGGCGTTAGAGCTATCACAGCTCGTAAAGAGTTGTGGCTTGAAAGGCTTCCAAATGGCGGGATAACTTGACCCTCTCAGTAGTTGGAGTCGGGCAGCGACGGCTCTTTCTCAATGCGGACTCAGTGGCAGTCCCGTACATGTGAGAAAACCCGGTGCATACTGTGAGACCGAATCATGCTTGAGACAAGTAGACATTCTGTTTAGCTTTTCCAACCACTGCGCCTGCACACGTCCTGATCACTTAAACGCCATCTTATCAACTGAATTAAGTGGATGAGGGGGAACAGGATGCGGTAGATGCTACGCAGGTCTGCGCACTATAGACAACTTTATGCGCAAGTCACTGTCGTCATAGCAATTCCCTAAAGCACGAGGTGAACATTGTCATTCGCGATGATCAAGCTTTCTGAGTGTGCGGTATGTAGAGGACGGACACTGACAGCACAGTTTTAAGGTCAATATAGGTACGTGCTGCGACTGGATGGTCGTTTAGCTTTCGCATGATATCGAATTTCGGATATCTACCGTCACTAGTTGTCCCATATGTGCACTCATAGCAGGTAAAATAAGGCTCGCAAGACGTAGGCGGGAACAATGCACTGACAGGCCCAAACAAACGCATCGAAGCTGCTTGTGGATACTTCTGTTTCGCCCCACTCTGACATGCACCCCATCTTCGGCTAAACAAGTCTACGTTCGCCCCAGCGGCTACATTCCGGTGATCGTCCCTGACTGGTGGGCTATACCGAGTTAGCGTATATGGGGTGTTTATGATGATCAATGTACGCCGTAGTCTGTGAAATAACTTTCATGCCTCCCCCTACCTCCAAAATGTTCTACTGAGGGATCGACATGCAATCGCATAAACGGTCCTGGTTAATATGTATCGCCTTCTGCTAAACAGAAGCCGTGGTTCACAGAAATTTGGTAACCAACTGGGATGACTGATCGTCTCTATTTAGGATTAGCACAGTTTCTGCATTCTAGAAGGAGGTGGCTAAATAACGGATCTTAAAAAATTGCCGAAAAGACCAGCGGTCGGCAAAGTGGCCGTGACTTATGTCCGCAAGATATGCGGTTGAAGAACTATCGAAAATAACATTCGTCACTGCCTTTGCGTAGTCTGTCAGTGACATTGCTCCCTGCAGTAAATTTGAAATTTCCTTTAAATTTTAAACAACATAGTGGCTAGTAGACCACAAATGTGCTCAAGTCTAGGCGTCCGGGAACTTGCCCACTACAGGGCTGACATCATATATCTTGCTCGTACCCACATCTTTGAACAGAGACAACTGAAGGAGGTAGATGCCGAGCCCAAATTTTTCTAGAGCGGACGTCTGAAGACGAGGGGACGAGACGCTGGGGTTGTCTTCACCATCAGTGACCGCGTCGTGACACAGCCGTCTTGCCTCACTCGAGGAATCACGGATCGTCTCACGACCGCAATGAATTCGGCTTCATTGTCAACGCATTTGTCCCTCCACTGGACAGTACATAGTGCGCGACCGATCTGATGCAATGTTGGCCGAAATTCTGAAATGCGTTTTCGATTAGGAAGGATTACTTAGGTGAGGTTGTAAGCTTGCTTATCAAGCAACTTAATCCCATAGTATTTCTAACTCTCTAGGATGTTCTTCATTTCGACCTCCTAAAGAAGCCACGCTCGTCAAAGTGACTACTTAAATAGCATGCATTTTTCACACTTATTTTTGATGTTCTTGTCAATTTGATTATTTTTCATGGGAAACACGCACAAAATACGCTTTCTTTTACTTGTTTGGTAGAAAATAACATCGTCTTTGCATTTTA